TCTGTACTTTGACAGATGCATGTTGTAGATTGATTAACCTAATTACACTGTTATTTAAAAATAGCAACCCTCAAATTACAGACTTTGAGTGTATTTATGCAGTATTTCTGTGTTTTTAATACATTCTAGAGATGTTTTTTCTACTAAACTTTGGTCGTAAAATTACACAGAATATTTACATGGAAAAGCTGTAATTTTACAGTAATCCGCTGTACAGTATTTTACTGTAAAATTACAGGAACTGTTTGGCAACTTTTGCTGCCAGACATCTTACCGTTTTTTTAATGATTTTTTTTTTTTTTACAGTGTGTTTTTGAGCCTGTCTGCCGCTTATTTTGGTACTGTCATCAGTGACTTTCTGCTTTTGCATCCAGTCTCTTTTTTCAAACCTGACATTTGTGAATACTTAAGAACTCTTTGTCTGAAATTATAGGATAAAATGTTTTTTGTAGTCAGCTAACAGTGTATCATATTTAGGTAAATAGTTTTCTCCCTCTTTCCTTACATTTCCTGGGCCACTGGCTGCTTCGCAATCTCAGAGCATAATGGATCCACCCTCATACTTAACTGTTAGCAACTTTTTTTATTATTTAATTGCTTCTTCTTTTTCTCTTCTAACATATCTTTGGTGACTCTGGCAAAGAGATGAAGTGTTGTTTTGTCAGACCACAGCAGTTGATGATGTTTTGCATACTTCAGATAATGACTTGTTGAAATTGCAGAAATGTGTCATATTTAAGTTTGTTCAGTGCAAAGCTGGACTTAACTTTTTTTCACTTATAAAGTCAACAAAATGTATATTTGACTGGGGTGACCAAACCTTGACATACAACTGCACTGTGGTGAGGACTTAAAAGGGAAGTGAATTCAGAAGAATTTATTTGTGGACTTTTTCAATAAGATTTTGTTGTTTGGTTGGCTGGGTAGTCAGCAAGAAAGCGCACAAATAAGCTAAGTGTGTAAAGGGACACTGGACTTTTTTTTTTTTTTTGGCATATTTATGTTCAGACAAAAAATAAATGACTAAAGCAGTAGACTCAGTGTCATTGTTCAACAGAGATTTTGGATAACTTTTTTTCTGACAAATGAGCTATTTTGCTGAGCTTTGTGGGGGCACAGACCTACACATCAGGTAGAAATCTTCTGAGCCCACAGAAACCAGGGGAAGTCATTCAGCCAGTTGGTGAGTCTGCTGAAACACCATTTCAACCCAAAGTCCAGTTAAATTGTACAGAGATAGAACAGAAAATGATGAAAGTGTTACTGATGATAGTATTCAGTTGAGACTGTTGGCAGGAGATGGATTGACATCTGAGTCAGCCTTAAAGAAAGTTCTGGCTGAGGAGGCAGCTAAAAAGAACATGAAAGGCTTGAACAGCTCAGGGACAGAGAAATGGCTGAAGCCAGCAGGTGGAGCTGTGTACAAGGTGGACACAGGAACAAAAAGTATAATAAGAGCATGGACATGGTACTGATGTGGGGGAAAGAAACGTAGCAAAAGACTATTTGCAGTGGAATAACTGCACAGGTGCGAAACATGAAGTAACATGTCAGGGAGGAAAACGCAAAAAGTGTAATTATATGCAAGACAAAGAAAAGACAGGAAGCTTTCACAATGTACATTTTAGTTGATTCAGTGCAGAGTGGACCCCCATTCACACAGTGCTAGACAGTGAATGGTAGTCCAGTAAAATAAGTCTAACGTGCTGCAGTGTAACAATACTGTCAAAGTCACAGTGTGCAACAAACAAAGTAAAAAACAGTTAAACTGTTTCTCACCACCAAGTCATTTGTTTGAGTGACAACCCAGTACAGTGTATTACAGTGTTTTTACAGTGTATAAGTATGATTATGATGACATTTCTTGCATCCTGGATTGATGTTAGTGAAGTATTCAAATGTTTATTGTCATCTCCCTCACCGTATTTTGCATGCTGTTAAAGTTGACAGCTCCACTGGGTTTCAGATTGAGTGCTCTGATAAGAAATTGACATTGTATTATTACTTGTGAAAAACTGAGATGCAGTGCTGATTTATTAAAGCTTAAAGGTTTAGGTTTAGGATTAGGGTTAGATGTAAAACCCCATTGCAACTTCATTTGCATTTAATAGATATTTAGTTGATTGTTTTTCTCTGCCTTTACAAGCACAACATGCAGTGCCGGTTCTATCAGCCAACTATGCAAGTCTAGTCCCAGGGGGTCATTTAGTCAAGCAGTGCCACACTAACCAATCTTTATGCCCCCTTATGCTTTTACACATGCTTTTATACTGGCATGAGGCAAATAAAGTGACAGTAAACTTGGTGCACCCTGCTAGCCATGCACATCCTATATGAAAGACTACATCAATTAACATAGGGAGGCTTGCATGCATCACTTTGTATTGGTTGCTCTGGTTGTTGAGTGTGAACATGTTCACTGTCGAGCTTCTAACAAGAAAATTACTGATTTGTTTTCCAATTTTATACGTTTCCCTTCATTATTTTGAGTGATGCTATTGGGAATAGGAAAAAAATACTGGTAGGAATAAAAAGTTCAGAAAGCAGAAGCTGCAGACCTCAGATCCCCATGCCTTCCATTGGACCAAGGAATTTGTTTGAGCCAACTGGTTAGATTGTAGCTTCATTCATCATAGGTTGAGAAAACTTCAACTCTATTTGTCACTTGTTGCTCGTGCTGCCTGTTGCTAACTCGTGGCTACAAATCACTTACTATGGAGAGAATTGTCCACTGTGGTGGTGATAGGAACCAGACGTGTGAATTGTTTAATGCCTCTAAAAGCTATATAACAGAAATGACATGAAATGGTGAATTTGCTGCCTGATAGTTTTACAATTCAGTGTTTTATCATAGCCTTTCAACAAAGTTTATACTCTGTACTAAACCAGACTTTCTGTCAGCAACTGATCAAAACCGAATCCTGTCTTTGAACATGGAGAACACGAGAGGTGTTATAATTAGAAAAAAATTGTGTTCATTCAAAACTGAATAAAAATATAGCTTTTATTACACTGCATTAATTGTGTTAATTAAATGATAAAAGTAAACAGATATAATTCATCAATGATAGATATAAAATACTGTACATTTGATTAGAAAGGGAAAAACTAAACAGAAAGGCTACAATAAAATAAGAATTTATATAAAACGTATTACTTACTCATGTACATTTAAAAAAAAACAAATAAAGAGTAATGTAAGTTACATGAACATAAAATACATTAAATGTTGCATTAAGTCTCAAGATCATAAAAATGTACATTTAATCATACAAAAACAAATAAAGGAATTGTCAAGCTGAGAAGTAGCATATAGTATTTTTACAGCCACACATTTGTCTTTAAACTGACACTGTGCTGGTGTGTTTTAACTTATGCTGATACATTTTTGTACATTTCTGTACTCATACAGGATATACAGTAACAAAAGACAGCACTTAGTGAATTACAAATGCTCTAATTCAGCCAAACTCCAGAGCATCACTACAGTCCCATTGTCTGTAACAAGCAAAGAATTCAAAATATCTGACTATTAAACACAAACACTGGCTCAGTCCAGTTACAATCAACAAATGAGGAAATAAGATATTTCACTTCAAGACAATATTTACACAAATGCATAAAAAATAACAGTTTAGCAGTGTAAAACACTCAAAACATATATACATTTTGCTAAAATCTTCACTTTTTGGATTATGTTCAGTCAAAAAATATGTACCAAATGAGTAATATAAGATATAAACTGGATAAAGAGGATTTTGAGCAGTAGAATTATGTACACATTCTTCCCTCTTCTGTCTACAATCTTAAAGCTCCAATCAGAAGTTAAAAACATTTTTTTTTAAAAATTAGTTTTGAGAATCACAAAAACACAGGCTTTAGAACAACAACAATGTACTCTCTAATAAACACATTTACCATTCTCACTGTAGGTAAACTCAAGATGTTATTGGTAGCCATAACACTGTTTCAATAATTCCCTATTGAAGGTTTAGGACACAGAAGCTTTTGTATGGACCTGCAAGAGAAGAAAATCATTAATTATGGTATTTCACACTTTATAAAGTTTTTACTCATAGTAATTACAAACAAATGTTTGCCTGACAGAAATGGAGCCATTAAAGAAGTATTACTGAATTGACATTAAACCAATGGCCAAAAAATAAAATAATAATAATAAATAAATAAAATAAAATAAAAAATCCACTTAACCCAATATATTTTTTTAAATGAACCTGTGATGCTAATGTTGCTAACAAACACTAAAACTCAATAGTCACTCAAATAGCCCAAACCTTTTCTGTAAATATACATCACCAAAAAGCAAAAATTGGACTTCAGGCATGTCTCACCTGATTGACTAGAATAAGAGGGAAGTTGTGTAAATTAGATTTTTTGCCAAACTATTTCTTTAATGACAAGTGCTATTTTATCATATTCTGAACCCAGATTTAGCACCCTTGTTAACAGTGTTTACAACATCCAACAAACCAATACTGGTGCCATTTTCACTGTTTTAATGTTTAAATATGGAAGAATAATTTCTAGTAATGTATAATCCTGACTAATGTTGCCTGGACTGTTTGTCAGAGCTTCACAGAAAATATCATAATATGTAACTTGTAGTTTATATTATTAGTAGATTTGTCATAACTTTGTGATTTACTTCATAAGATATACATCTCCATATTGTTTAAACATCTTACTTACATTTTTAAGCTTAATCACAAACAAGATTAAATAGTTTAAGTTAACTTAAACCTGGGCTCCTTAAAACCCTTAAACACCTTTTCCTTACTGCAAAACATGCAGCTGTAAAGTACACAAAAGCTACTGCACAAGTTCTAAAATCAAATAATCAGCTCAGTCAGTGCCGCCCTCAGTGGGAATCATACTGCAGCCCTAAAAACTATTTTGTTTTGGTTCATTCACCCAACATCACACCTGTGGCACTGAACTGTGATGGCCTGTTAGAGCTGATCTTACTTTTGTCTTCAGTTCTACTTCAGTTCTGAGTAGACAGAATCAGCTTCCTCACTGCTTTTCCCTACAGAGAGTAATGACACTGAATTAGCATCAACCAAGAACAAGACAGTATTCTTTTAAGCAACAGCTGCTGCAATTGACTTACACAAGCTGAGAGCATTCGATCTATTAAAACACAGACTGGCATTCTATATGGCATAATTCATAAACCAATACATTCAGACCTTTTCTAATAAACTTACCTTTAACCCTGATTTTTTCCTTCGCCCGTTTGTCTTTCAGATCAATTTCAGCATAAGTCACATCACTGGGTTCAGCTTCTGAATCTGAAAGAAAACAAAAACTATTTTGTTTACTCCATTTCCTTCTGCTTTTGCAATCCTTTTCTAAAAATCTAATCTGCAACCAATCACATACTATAGAATTACTTATACCATAGAATATAGAATAGTAAACATACTGCCCTAATGTACTAGAGACTGAACAAAAGATGGGCACCATAAACTTATATGTTGCCAAAGCTCAAAAATGTATCCATATATGATGAGTAACACCAACATAATAAGGAACAAATATTCTGCAGTAGAGTGAGAAGTAGCTTTCATTATGTATTGTAGCAAACTCTCATACTGGCTTGTGTTCAGCCCAATGAATATTAATATAGATACAGTGCTAAACACTGCTGCAGTCCTTAAAGGGCCCAGATCCTAGAAAACTGAAATATTAAAAAAATGATGTTTTTAAACTGTTGAAAAATGAAACCATAGTGTTCACCCAGTCCATATGTGGAAACCAAGCTGCAAAAATTTTGAATTACTTAATTCTGTGATGCCATAAAACTCAAGGAATTTTCATGTCTACACCTGGTCAACATACAGCAGGTTAGCTCCACCCATTCATGTTGAAAAAGAAGTGCTTCAATCCGCTTTCTGAATTAGGTACAATACAGTGCAATCAATCAGGCCAGAGCTCATTTACAAAGGGAAAAGTTGGAAAGTGTAAAAATGAATGATAAAAGTTTTTGGTACATAAAACCACACAAATTTTAGAAGAGGCCTTTGGGGAAAAATATAATACAAGAAAAATGGCGGATATGGGCCCTTTAAGAAGAATGGGCCTCATTCACCAGCCATTCATTCTTTTTCTTAGGACCTTTCTCAAGAACACATTTAAGAAAAAACTTATGAATATATTGGTGAATGAGGCCCAATATTTGTTGTTTTCATTCTGTACTCCACTCTAGAACACTGAATTTGTCATGAAGCTACGACTATGCAAATGCTGACTTTAAATGGAGCGCATTTATGACTATGCTGAGTGAACAATATAGGAATCGCACAGAGCAATCAGACAAATGAACAAAAGCTTAAATAAAATCATTACATATATGACCCCTAAGAGGCAGTGATCGCATCTGTGACCATAAATGGCAGTGAACTGCCCTCAAGATTATCAAGATTATACCTCAAGGTATCTTTCCTGCTCTTGCAGACTTACAGTATATCACCATTTTCAAGAAAAATGTGTCATTATTTAGATTCCCACAGAGTACATTGTATTTCTAAAACTGAACAATGAGACATTTGAGTTAATAAATAAATAAATAAATAGATAAAGACATACACACACACACATACACACATACATGCATACATACATACATTTAGAGGCACCTTTGCCTTTGGGTTTCTTGCTTTTCTCCTGAATCTGTGAGTAAACTGTATCACTTGGTCCAGACATGACATCATCTATATTTAAAAATAAAATTAAAAAATCATTAATTATTAACAGACAAACAAACAAAAACAGGTTAATTCTAAATAATAGTAGATGTTCCCACATTCAGTGTTAGGTGTTCTTTTAAAATAGTGTACTGGCAGGAGGCACAGGCGCCTGATTTTGAGTAAAAGCAATTTTTTGTTATCTGATGTTAAAATGTGTTGACTATCAAACATTAGCAAACTAAAGTCATTTAAACATGTGTTTTTAATGATATAGGGATGTAATAATGAAGACCAGTGCTACATGGATTGTTTTTAACATTGTGGAAGTTCTGTTGTAAATAATACATTATTTTAACATAATCAGTAATAATCTATAAAAAAATAGCCATTATTGTGACAAAATCCCACAAATGAAAGAATAGTCCAGCTCAAATGATAACAAGAGGATCATTTATTGATTAGCATAAATAAACAATATCTAACAGGAAAATAACAAAAGTTAATAAACCTATTCTTAATAGTTGTTATGCAATCAGTCGTGTAAACATGTGATTTGCGTTCTTGTAGGCTACAGAAACAGCAGAGCCTTCAGCATGTCATATGGATACAGCTGTATAAAGTGCTCTTAAGAAAGGTGAATGCACAACAATAAAGTGGACTAAAGCCAAGTCTAACATGTAGCAGTCTTTTTCAGTCTTGACTTACGCAGATGGAAACCAGCAGCATAAAACTATGGGTGGAAGCAGGTGGGAGTGGGACAACATGTTTAGGCTGCGCATGTGAGCAAGACAAACAGCACCGATTTGCTGTGGGATGAAATCTTACATAAGTGGGACTAAGAAATTGGTCCCGTGCAGACCTCTTGTAAAAAGTGCAGAAGCACATATGTATGTTTGCTCCCTCCCCAATAAAAGTGGGGGTGCACATGCTCCACTTGCTCCATTCTCAGTTGCATATGCTAGCAGGGTCATGCAAGGACATTTCTGGGGGGCCCATGGCTCAAGAGGAAAAAAGTCATTGTGCAATACATGAATTACACTTAATTTAGAGCACACTGCAACCACTCAAATATAAAAGGAAGTATTAGTGTGTCACCATATTTCAGAGAAAATTATATGCAGTTTTACTAGCGGTTTAGAGATCTGGACACCAATCTCCAGTGTACAAGGCAGTAATGCTACTCACTATGCTAAATGCTGTAAACACTGCAGTTGCAGCTCCAATTAAGTGCTCCTCAGAGCCTCACATAATCACTGTTGTTTTCAAATAAAAAATTGGTTTAGTAAGCAGCCCTTACTGCTGTTTCTTTGGTTGTTGTTCAAAATACTTTATGCAATGAGACACTTTCTTTGAGAAATTATTAAATTAAAATTAAACAGGTGTTGTGTTGATATGTGCATCCATAACAGGTTAGAATTACTGAGGCAAAATCATCACAGGTAGCTTGTACTGCACCAGAGGGAGCAACCAAGAACACCTCATTGACAAGAATGCTGAAGAATGACTCAGTCCATATAAAATATACCCTAATTTGTATGCCTCTCGACCAAAAGGACACTTTTACAGTGTGAGGGCAAAAGGGGCAGGAGCTCAAGCTCCCCCCTGTGTGCATGCCTGTGTAGTAGGTAGTACTTACCTTCACTGTGGCTTTTCAAGTGTTTCATCTCAATCTGGGAATTTGTCAGATCATTTGGTGTCACTGCAACATCTAATACAGAAATCAGTTTAGACTCTGACAGCAATTAAACAGAAGCAGATTTCCATCATTGCAGAAACAAAATTCTTACATTTTTTCTTTGGTTTCTTTTTAATAGACAAAGCTTGTGCATAAGTGGCATCACTGGAGTCAGTCGCAGAATCATCTACAACAGAAGACTCTGTTTAGAGAGGCCACTGTGTTCTGTCATTATTAAAGATATCCAATTAAAAAAAAGTATTCAAAATATTGAAATGAGCACATATGTTAATTATTACAAAAACAGAATTCTTACCATTTGTTTTCAGTTTCTTTTTAGTAGACATGACTTGTACATAAGTGGCTTCACTGGAGCCAGCGGCAGAATCATCTACAACAGAAAGTCTCTATTTAGAGAGGCCTCTGTGTTCATTCATTATCAGAGATATTCCATTAAAACAAAAAAGTATTAAACATGTTATATTATTATTTATACAACAGTTAGTTCTGGCCATGCAAGCTGATTGGTTGAGAAGCGTTCTACCTGTGCTGTTATTTCGCCATAACATCACAGGTTTTTTTTACAAACATTGTATCACTCCGCTAAGACACCGTTGCTAAGCAACGAGTTTGACAGCTGTAGGAGACGCTGAGATGACACATTTGACCGACAGCCGATGTGGTCAGACTTTGAAGATGAGACTACACTAAATTCTCAAAAAGTCTTCACCACTGAGCAGCTTTTCAATTGGCAGCTGTGACAGGAGAACACCCAAACAACCGGGAATCAGCCAGAAATAAACCGAATACCTTTTGCTAAACGTGTAGTCTGATCTTCAGAGTCGGACCAAATCGGACTGAGCCATAAAACCGCCGCAATAAAAAACAAAAAAGCTGGTCAGTGGTGATGACAGTTTGGGAATTTAGTGTAAGGAGCTGGAGAACGAACTGCCGGCTGTGCAGCGAGTGAGCGGAGCTCGTTACTGTGATGTAGCAACGAGCTGCTTGTTAAGGAACTATAATTTGGCGGAAGGAATTGCGAACATTAAAACATATTAAATGACACGTTCACGGCCCAATTTACTTAAGCCTTCGGCTCATGCCTGCGTCCACATCACAGCTATGATTTTATTTCGTGATTACACTACCTCTGGTGTTCTATTGCTTAAATATCTTACATGTGATTAAAGATATCCAAAAAATTTAAAATGAGCACATATTTCCATTATTGCAGAGGCACAATTCTTACCTTTTCTCTTTGGTTTCTTTTTAGTAGACATAACTTGTGCATAAGTGGTATCATTGGAACCAGCTACAGAATCATCTAGAACACAAGTCTCTGTTTAGAGAGGCCACTGTGTTCATCAATATCAACGATGTTCAATATTAAAACAAAATGGTATTCAAAACACTGAAATAAGAATGGAATTCCATTATTACAGAAACATAATTCTTACCATTTGTTCTCAGTTTCTTTTTAGTAGACATAACGTGTGCATAAGTGACATCACTGGAGCCAGCGGCAAAATAATCTAGAACAGAAGTCTCTGTTTAGAGAGGCCTCTGTGTTCTTTCATTATCAAAGATATCCAATTTTAAAACAAGTATTCAAAATACTGAAATGAGCTGTACCTGTGGTTGTGTTGGCTGCCACCCCAACATTGCCATAAACATGATCATTACCTTTTGAAAGGAAGATCTTTTTAGTGAGAAGGGTTAACTTGAGTAAAAACTAAATGCTGGTTTATTGTTGATGAAAACTGACCAGGCTGCAGCAGTGTGGATCCTGTATTCTGGCTCTGGCCTGATGTCTGACTGGTGTTCTTCTTATTTCCTGTAAGGAGAGACATAACTTCTGTGCCATCACAGTTTTTTAAGGATAAAAACCATTTGCACTTGTTGAAGCATGAATATGTTGTATTAAAAAGATCTGTTTACTTCACTGTCCTATAAAATGACAGCTATAGAAATATACCACAGACAGAAATGACCTCTCCGTAGGGAGCCTGTGTACACTGCTATATGGTAAAGATAAAGTGCTGATTATCATACCTTTCTTCTTCTTGCAGCAACAAATCAGGCATAGCATAACAATGAGGAACAGGGTCAAACTCAGTGCCACCGCCACCAATATTACTGTTACATGATTAGATCCTAAGACAGAAAGGAATGTGACTTTATACATGAACACTTTACTGTAGCTACAGAAGTAATTAAATAATATGAAATGATTTTCTTACTTCTGACTGAGATCCAGCTCTGTGGTGACTCTCCTTTCTCTGGGTGTTTACAGTGGTAGAGTCCTTCATCTGACTTGGAGACAGTATGGATGGTCATCTCTCCTGTAGTCTGAGTCTGGAGGAGTGATCCATTCTTATAGAATTCAACTGTGAGGTTTGAGGGCTTTGGGTCACGATATAAACAGCGCAGAGTCAGAGGATCTCCCTCAGTCACAGGATGAACAGGACTCTCCAGAATCACAGAACCATCTGTAAGAAAAAGTCAGACCCTGATAATTCGGCAACAATAACCAATTCAGTGGGACCACAGCTATCATCCACATAAATTAAAAAATAAATAAATAATCTGGCTATATGTATGAAATTTTATTAAGTTCATAAAACTTGTTCATAGTCTGTTCTGTACTGGATTTTTTTCTCTTTTTTTTTCTTTTTTTATTTTAGTGCTCTGCATGTAATAGCTAGTTCTTACTAGTTAACCCTACAAAAAGGTATGCTTAAAGCTCATTTTATTACGTAAACTTAATTAAAGTTAAAGTATATTACCCAAGTATACTTTACGTAGTAAATATATTAATACTAATGTACTAGTACTATACTTGTAAAGGTACTATTTCAAACTTCTTTGGACTAAATTGGACCACTTTTTATAAAAGTATACTTTCAAGTACACTGTAGGTGTAAGAGTAGTAAACTTTGAGTACTCAATTAGTTTACATTTAGGTTTTATTTTGTACTAGATTACAAATATACTGTAAACTATACTAAAAGTGAACTTATAGGTACTATTTATGGTGTGGGCAGTACCTGTGGTTGATTGATTTTTTTTGTGGGTTGCCAAGATGGCTGACCATTGAACGGGAAGCAGTGTGGTGTCTTCCTATCAATGGTATCCATCTTTAGAGCCGCAGTATGCACAGGTGTAAATCACTACTGATTAGCTGCTCGTTCACACAGCAAATCTTTCCGGCTCGATTGCACCACAAACTTCCTTTTATTTCATGATCACTTAGGCTAAATCACAAACGGCTCCCTCCTTCCAATGTAGTGCACTATATAGATCTTAAAATAAAGACTTTGGCACCAAAACAGCGCATAATATGTCCAGGATAACACAGAGCCAGATTCAGCCAGATGACACAATTCCCTACAGGACAGTGCATATTGTAAAAGTCCAGACCTCATAACTCAAACAGTGCACTATGTAGGGAGTAAGGAGCCATTAATACTCAGCCACACCCAGTAGACACCAGTCTACTCTCCTACAACGTGATGCTGTTTACGTTGTCTGAACAAGGCTGTTAAGAGATTGCGACAACGTTGCCATTATGTTGTCACAATATTGTCAGATAATGTTGTCATAATGTTGTGACAATGTTGTGGGCACCAAAACAACAGGTTGTCATGATTTAACTGTTTTTTAGGATAGTGTTTAAGGGTTTGTGAAAACTGCCTTGTCACGAAATGCAACATACGGTAGCTACTAGCACCTCGACCACTATGTCACATCATGTCTCTTCTTTAAGTGAACTTACTATAATACCTATAGTTTACTACTTACATATTATTTTTATACTTTATACTACTAGGTTTATATTTAGGTATTATTTTATATACTTCAAATATGCCTTTAATTGTACTGTAAGTGGACTTGAAGTTAACTATTTGAAAATATTTGTTTTCTTTATAAATCAAAATTTTCAAACAAATATTGCACTGGATGTCAAAATATAAGAACATAACAAACATAACAATTTAAATTGACATTCCAGGTCTAAATACACCAAACTCACATCCTGGAAAAAAAATGTCTATAAAATCAGCCAAATGTTCATCTGTTTCTGTGTGGGTTAATAACACTGTGTACATAAAAGATCAGGTTTGGTTTCACCCATGTACTATTTCATCCCAAACTACAGGCTACAAATATACTTAACCCTTACATGTAAGACAAGAATACTTAAATATAATTTTAAATATGTAAATATACTTTTTTGTATACTTGTCAGTATAAACCAAACATACTTTTATAAACCAAGTATAATTTTATTTAGTATATAGCTGATAAGTACACAAAAGGTAAACTGAAAGAATACTCACTTATTTTAGTTTAAAAATATATATACTAATAGCACACATGTATAAACTTCTTTTTTGTACAGGGGAAAAATGACTTACTGATTGGTGGTGCAACAAAATTAGCAAAAGGATAGTCTGAAGTGAACTTACTACTTAATAAAGACTTTATGTACAAACTTAAATTCAAATCTATGCAAAACTGGTGCAACCCAGTCTAGGATTAGAATAATGTAGACTCACTGTGCACTGTGATGTTGACAGGATTACTGCTCTCTCCAGATTCAGACTCACACCAGTACATGCCAGTGTGGGATGTGTAGAGGGAGCTGATGTTGCATGTAGATCCTGTAACTGATCCCCAGCCTGATGAACAATCTGACACCTTCTCACTGTGTGTGTATCGTCTCACTCTCCATCCAGTAGAGTTACTCTGTCCCTCACAGCTCAGTGAGAGAGAGTCAGTAATAAAGTGTTGAGTTCTGCTGGGACTGACCACCAGAGAGACTGGATGAGACACACCTAAAAAATACAGAGAAGACACACAGTGTTCTGTAGCATGCTCCTAAAGACTGGCAAAAGCAATGCTACACAAAGTAACCTTTCATTCATATTAAAATAGTTTTAACACAGTGCACACGAACACCAACCAGCCACTTCATTAAAACCACATCCTTGCATCTACACTCACTGTCCATTTTATTAGCTCCACTTACTATAGAGGTTCACTCTGTAGTTCTACAATTACAGACTGTAGTCCATCTGTTTCTATGCATACATTAGTACCCCCTTTTACTCTGTTCTTCAAAGACCAAGACCTCCACAGAGCACGTATTATTTGTGTGGTGAATCATTCTCAGCACTGCAGTGACACTGACGTGACCAGTTAGTGTGTGGTGTGCTGGTCTGATTGGATCAGACACAGCAGTGCTGCTGGAGTTTTTAATCACCTCAGTGTCACTGCTGGACTGAGAATAGTTCACCAACCAAAAGTATCCAGCCAACAGCGTCCTGTGGGCAACGTGCTGTGACCACTGATGAAGGACTAGAGGATGACCAACACAAACTGTGCAGCAGCAGATGAGCTATCGTCTCTGACTTTACATCTACAAGGTGAACCAACAATGCAGGTGTGTCTGACACACTAACATGCCACCACCATGTCAGTGTCGCTGCAGTGCTGTGAATGATCCACCTCCCAAATAATACCTGCTCTGTGGGGGTCCTGGTCATTGAGGAACAGAGTGAAAAAGGGTTAACAAAGTATGCAGAGAAACAGATGGACTACAGTCTGTTAATGTTGAAATACAGAGTGCACCTCTATAGTCAGTGAAGCTGATAAAATGAAGCTGATAAAGTGCACAAACAAGATAGCTGGCTGGTCAGTGTGTATATTGAAACATGTATACAGTATATATTTCCTCACAAGTCATCCACAGTGCACTATTAGAAGAAAGACTCTGAAAACTCTTCTATTCAAAATTCAAAACGCTAAAAATGGTGCAGTGAATTGGTAAATTTTTCCACTGTATATTAACTAAAGTCCTTTGTATGGATTAGAAACACTATCTGGAGAACTGGAGGCACCAGGATTATGATTCAGGGCTTGATTTAAGGGGGAGTTGGGAGGGTCTTTCTTCATTGATCGGCTAAACGCAATGTGGCAGTTGCATTCATTTGCGTAAAGTTAAATTCTGCTGAAAGTTTTTGCTGTGAGGCGAGGCAGATTTTGCACACTGCCAAACATCATACACCGCACGATGCACCAGAGCTCTCCATTGAAATGAATAAGATGCGGCTGGGCAAAGTTGCAAGTGAATGTGTGCCGTTTTACTCACCAGTCGTGTTCATCCAGAGAGCATCACTGTAGTTAGTGTAGTATACTGGGTTTCCTCTCCCAGCTCTGCACCAGTACTGTCCTCCATCAGAGACACTAACTGAGCTGATGCTGTAGGAGTGTGTTTCAGTCTTGATCTCATTCTCAGGGTTCTGTGTGTGTTTGGACCAGTAAAACTTCCACCCAGCAGACTGATTCAGCTCACAGTACAGAAACACTGGATTTCCTAACACTGTAGCTCCTGTATGGCTTGATGTGAGTTCAGGTTTAGGTTTTTCTGCAGTTGGAGATGAAGCACACAGTTCAGACTACGAAGAGTTCACACACTGATCTCTTTACTACAGTCTTTACTACAGTAATTACTGACCTTCAACAGAGAGACCCACACTATACTGTGATGACAGTGGCCCCAGCTAAACATTTAGCAAAACTCACACTGGCCTACATGTGCATGTGCACATGTGCTCCTACAAGACTGAAATCTTAATTTCATATTAAAGTAACTCACACACTACATCTTCACACCTGTGTTTCAGCCATTGGTATAAGGAATCAGAGTACAGCAGACCAAAAGAAAAGTCTTACAAAAGCCCTAGAACTAAAATACCACAGGCTCATGATGAGATATAATTTACTGCAAATGCAACTGCTGTGTCTGCACATAAATGACAAAGAAATCAGTTATTAGAAAGAAAACTGACTGTTTGCAAAATTCTGAGAAATCCCCACCTCCCTCGGTTATTATTGCTATATCCACCAAACTTTCAGTACAGACCACCTGGTGGTATCCATTGCCAGTGTTACAGGTAACATATTACAAAGTAACACAGTACAACAATGTGATTACTTTTCCTTGTAACAAAGTAGTGTAACACACTGCAGTTTAAATCCTTGTATTCATATTACAATTACTGACTTAGTCCGTACGTCACTCATACATCTATAAGTATACAAAATGCTGTGCTTGACCCTTTTAAATCATACATTGTCTCTGTATTCATTATCCATGCCTGTCCTTGTACGCAATTTGCATGCATGCTATATGTATCAGCTGACTGGTTGGTTTATTGTAAATATGAGCAGAGCAGTGTCAGTGCAGGAAGTGCACTAACCTCAACAAACAATTTGTTGATGCATTTAATCAAACTAACGTGAAACTGATTGTTAAAATCACAAAGCTGAACAACAGAGAACCCAAACATCACTGAAACAGGCCAAACTTGATTCTCATTCAGAGACAGCTCTGTAAGCTACGGTTTCTCTTGGCTACTTTCTCTGTTTTTAAACAGCATCAACTGTTCAGGATTTTATTCAAGTCTAACTGTCTGTGTCTAGTTAATATAAAGGGACAGTGACGGGCATTTAATAAGACATTTACTGTGACACATGTAGTTTCTGGAAACTATGTTTACATGAATCAAACCAGGGAAATCGTTTAGTCACACTAGGACAAATGTCTACTAAGGAGAAGTACCGGATGCTTCCCCTTGAGATGAGCTATTGCTAAAGCTAACATAGGAACTAATCAGAGCAACGTCAGATCTCAAGGACTTGTTGTCTTTCACATGAGGTCTTTCAGCACTCTTTAATGAAACAATACAAAAAATGGCACAAGCACATTAATATTTATATACACATTGGCCCTTATTCATCAGGGATGTGTACAGTCAAATCTGACTGTATAATGAGCGCATATAAATTTTAGCAACAGTTTTGTTATTCATCAGTTCCATCTTTGGTGTATATGATCAAACTCATGTCATGGTAGGATTGTGGGTATATTTGAGTGTAATACTTTAACAGCCTGAAAATAATGCTTGATTTGTAATTAACTAAACAAAACTATTAGCAGTATCATCTGTAATACTGAGAACAAGAATAAAAACAGAAAATAACAATAATACTAATAATTTGTGCACATGGCAGCCCAGGATAAAAGTGGATGCAGTTCTTTTACATGTATATTGGTGTAAACAAATTCTGCCATTATTACATGTTTCATTTAAGACAAATTACACTGTGCTTTTGCTTTATACTACTGACACCACCCAAAAAATGATAACAGAAGCAATAATACAGCGTTTTCATATTTTTCAAATGTGAGCCTGTACAGTGCTGTTTAATCTGATTGGTTTATTAAGATGTCAGCAGCTCAGTTAAGAAAAGCCAACTATTTAGTTTAATACTCTGAACATTTGTGTATAATACTATTCATCATCAGGCATCACTTTACATTTTTAGGAAACACAGTAGATAGAGGTTAAAGGTTAGTTTATATAGAGCCAGCATAAGTCTGTCAATAGTTTTGATATCGAGCTGTGAGTGTGAATTTCCACACAGTGTAATCTAAAACTTTCTCAGCTTCAGGAATGAAATAAAAGCACCATCCTCCAGATGATCAGGACAGCATTTCCTTTCTTAATAATTCTGACTAATTTATTATCAGGACTGTTCTCAGTGCACGTTTGCTTTGAGGAGTTCTATCAATTTTTTTTTCCTTTGCTTGATGGAGAAAGGAAGGCTTAGTGAAGACTGTGATTAACTGAGAGGCGTATCAATCACAATCTTGCAAATTGTTAAAGTTGAAATTCTTGGTAACACTTTATAATAACATTCATTTATAAAGCATTTATAAGCTTTTAATTCATAATTAACTAATCATGAACTAATGATACATTTAGAGCTATAAATCATTAAATAATATATATACACACAACACTTTATAAGACACCTATAAGCTCTTACTTCATGATTAACAAATGATGAATAGCTCTGGAATTCAGTAGTTATTCATCAGTTATGTATATACTATAATAAACATTCATATGTTAGTAGCATATTTACATAGTTCAAAGTTTAGGTGTTCTTTAGCCAAAAAACCTTTCAAAATAAAACATCTATCAACTTCTTCATGATTTACTAATCATGAACTAATCAAGTATTTAAGCGTTGTTCTTAATTGTTTTATACATTAATGGCAGTGGTGACATTTGAGCAATACAGTCTAAAATGTGTCCTCTTTACAAGATTTATAATGGCCCATATATAATAATATGTAGAACTGTCATCACACCTCCCTGGAGAACTCCTTATTCTCTGTCTGCGTATGTATGAAGACCTGGTGTTGTTGATGACTGTTTCCCGTTACTGCAAACCTGTCATGCAGGTTTCTCCACTACAGCATCTGGACGATTTGATCCTTCCTCTCTAGGATGGTCACCTAAATGCTTGTCCAGTGCCTTGTGATCTCAAGGCTTGATTACAGTCAGGCCCTTCCAAGTGATCAAAAGGTTTACTTTATCACCCCACTGCTGCGTTCTTTTCACTGGTGTCCAGTAACTGTTCACATCAGATTTAAACTCTGACACCTGCCTACAAAGCCAAAAAATGGACCAGCTCCTTCCTACCTGATGACCTATAGCAGTTTAAGCTTCAAGTATAGCCCAGCTTGACCCAGGACACATGAAAGACAAACATCAAGACTCTTCCATTGGAGCCCATGTGGTGGAACAAACTTCCACTGAACAGCAGAATTCCTCACCATCTTCAAATGGCGACTGAAGATCCATCTTTAGACTCCAGACTCTACTTACAGTAGCAGGGATATATTTTCTGAGTGGACAACAAAGCATTTTTCTCTCAATAAGTGCTTTGCTATATGCAATAAATGTAACTGAAATATATTTGCTACTATTTCATAACTAATGACTGACAAATCAGGATGTTTTTCACTTTTAGTGAATGTACTGCATATGCATTTACAAAAGAAAAAAATTAAATTAAATTAAATTAAAAAATAAAATCTTCACAAATCAAAGCTGCTAATTCAACGTGCCTTTTGTGAACCACAGTAAGATTCATTAAAACCTTTTGGGCCTACAAATGATTTGTTAAACATTAACAAACAGTATAGTGACTTCCTTACTCATGTTTTATAAATGACCTGTTCATTACATCTAAATTATTTGCAACATTTTTGCAGCCCCTAATCTAAAGTGGAAACTATTCTGTACTTATGAATATCTAAAATTGCCTATAAGTCATTTACAAACTAAAGTCCTTTTGTTAAGTCATTTATACATTAATTGGTCAACATTTATGAAACTTTTTGCAGCCCCTAATCTAAAGTGGAAACAAAAAAACAATGTATAGACATTTACTCAGGCTGTTTACTCAGTAATATTGCTAGTATTAAGTATGAGCTGGCACACAAATTCTTGATTTTATTCAACCATAAAATACAATTTATCAAAAGAGAAAAAGTGAGTTGTTCGAATTTTTATTCCATATAATAAACAAATTTGAGTTAATGTTTTGTAATAGCTATTTGCTAAACATTTAAAAGTAGTATTTACTTTTTTGACAAACAAGACATGACAATTTGTAGTGCAAATTAATTCATAACATTTGACATATTTGAAATTCCTTCAACCTTAACTATATTGTAACTTGTCCTGCATGAACATTAGTGCACTGTGATTGACTGTGTAATGCCTGTAGCCAAGCTGAGGTAGAGCCAGCCAGTAGGCACACCACTCATCACTTAGGATAGTGGATCCCCTCCTTGAGTGAGGAGTGGCATGAGTTCCCCTCTGGACCTCCGCTCGACGAGGCGAAGAACTGGCTTTCTTTGATTTGTGTCCGCAACTTTCACACCAAGCATGCCCAACACCCACTTCTTCCTCCTCCATCCCCAGCCATCCGTCCTCTTCCATACTAAGTTAGATAAAAAGGAAAGCAGTATCACATTAACTGCTTACATGGCTATGTCCTGCCACCCAGTCCCATCTTCTGTTACAAAATAATAAAAATTAAGAAATACTTATGGTTCTTATGGTTAATGAATAATAAGCCAGGATAGATATTAACCTCTTAAACTGCAAAAGCTTGTATATGACACTTTAGTTTCTTACTCTCATAATTACATAATATCTTAGCCTTTTAGGTAATGCTTTACCGAAGGGCAGCCTTCATAAAGCTGCATGACAACCTCCATTAGTCTTTCATGACAACAAACATAAACCCACATAAACATTTATAAAGGCTCTAACCAGCATTAATTGTTATAAAGGCTGCTTTTTCAACAATTTATTTGCCGTCTTCTGGAAGTACCTGGGTTGAGAAATGTGCCAGGATCTGCTAACCCTAGAAAGTGATTCAATGGCCAACATTAAAATGTCCTATGAGTTCTATGATGTGTTTTAAGAATTGCATGTGAAATAGAATAACTGTGGAAAAGATATGACAACACTAAAACATCAGTTGTCATAACATGTTATGTTATTTCACACAGAAAGTGAAATGTCATTACATGATGCTGACATAAATCTGTACATTGCGTATTCATTACGTCAACTTTGAACTTGACAGAACCAGCCTTTATGACAACCAACACTTGTGATAAACCTTTATAAATGTAAGTTAATGTCAGTCATAAGAGACTTGTGTAGGATGTCACTTAACCTTAAACACTGCCTTTCAGTAAAATGTTACCACCTGATACATATAACCAACAAATTCATCATTGTTACTTGGCAATAAATCTTAAGATTAATAGCTAACTAAAAGGCCTGCAAGGGTTAATTTTTTCAATTTAATTATTACTACTAACAAAGGAAGGAAAGGAAGAAAACTATGAAGAAATTAAGAAATGTATGTCCATTCAACATCATCAAGACTATACAAAATGCTATACTCATATTAAAATATACCTGCCTTTCTTTTATGTCTGAAGTGACTCTCGTCTATAACAATGAACTGCCTGCATCCTCCAATATGCTGTCCTTTTCTTCTTCTGGGTTTTTCCACTGACATCACACAAGCCTCTCTCACCTTTTTGACCATTTTTGACAGAGTTGCTGAACTCTCTGCTATTTCATCAGCTATCATGTCGATTTGGCGTAAACGCAGACCTTGAGAAAACCTGTAGGCACATAATGATAGAAAACTTTTTAATTGTTTTTAACACCTCACCAAGACTCTGATTACATGAATTTAAGTTGTAAAGTGCAGCATTTCATGCAGTACATGGATACCTAAAAATGGAACTGGACAAAGATGTTTGAAGTGCTTTTGTTCACCTGAAATGTTTGCTTTGCTTCATTTTAAACAAAGAACATATTTCACTTAAACATAACAAGTAAACTTGCTCATTAGCACAAGAAGTGCCTTTATAGGCTGCACTGTAAACATATTTTTACAGGGCAGAAACACAGTCTTTGCACATTCTGAATAAGAATAATATTTAGTATTTGGTAATATTAAACTCAAGTGCAAAGTTCAAGTTCAAATGGCCACCCCACCCACACCTGTAATATGCAGCAATAGAATGCTGTTGCTAAGACCTAGTAAACCTGTATGTGTAAGCTGCTTTCACCTGTACACAAATTCCATCCATTTGAAGAGACACTTTGGAACGACTAAACGCAGAGTTGTGCCTGACAGATCTCTTTACTTGTTGTCCCCTGTGGAGCCCGTTGACACCTCCTGCATGGATAAGAATTATATTTATGTCCAAGGTGTATTTAAGGTCAAAGGTATTTAGGATAGTCATGATCAATTCCAACACTAAATTACTATTCATTGTACAGATGGGTGATATGGCAAAAACATACTACCACAACACTTCAAGAAGTTTATGATTTCTGACATCTGATAAGTTAGAACAGACAATGTAGTTTCACTTTTAAAAGATGTGATCAAAAACTATTCCAATTATTTGTATTGAACATTTCACACTGTGCTGCACTAAATCAATTAAACAGGACTAATGATGCTCTCTTTGTGATCAGCATGCAGCTGGAGAATATCTTAAAATACTGTAACATGCACGTAAGCTCAGAAAAGCATACTTTAACATATTGTGACATAATTTATTGCAATAAATACTGTCATATTGCCAAACTCTAATTCAGTGTTTCACACCTTTAAATGCATTTCAAAGCATGAACTGCATAAAGGTATTTGATCAAAACTTCTAATTACACTAACAAATACAAAATCTATTTCAGCTAATAATATTGACTTTCTGTAATGGCTCTTTGTTAAGCTATAGTTTTTCTTCTGCCAACTAAACTTATTTTAGATAACTTAGGTTAACTTAGGGTCTGTTGTGTTACATTAACTTACGTAAAAAAGCGTAACGTGACTTACCATTCATAGCAGTCCGAGCAGTCGCTGACTTTGAGCTTCATCTTGTGGTGATCATCTTGTAGTAGTTTCTTCTTTTGGAGCCACTTTATTCATTTTAAATGTTTTCTTTTTGATTTCTTGCCCTCGATCAGTTTCCTCACTTTTTTTCTCAAAATACAACATTTTGGCGCAATTATAACCGGAATACAAGTAAACTATTAAAGTGAAGGTGGAACTTTGGTGGACGAGTTGAGTTTATTCAGGTCTGCACCAGGGGGCGCAACAACACGCTGCTGCATGGAGAAGTGTCGCGGCGACGGAGTTAAACAGCCACTTCAACTCGCTCCAGCAGAGCTCAAAGGGGAAATCCAGGCAAAACGTCGTCGTCAACAAAGACAAACAAGACAACAAGGATGGAGAGGATGGCGCAGGTAAGTGGCGTTAATGTAATGATGCAGCCAGCTAGCTGCCTGCTGGCTATAAACGAACATCAGCAAATGTCGCTAGTTAAGGTTCGCGCCTGTTCCTGGGGCACTTGGCTGTCGTTAGCGAGTTAGTTCGCTGTCTGTATCGCATGTTTTTAACATTCTCGGTCGAATTTCAGCTTTTCAGCTTTGTTGGAGTCTGTAAGAGTAAAGCTATGTTAGCCAACTAGTGAGCTAGTACGGGTTTGCTCTGAACATCGCTGGAGAAAGTATAGCGAATGATGTCTGATCATCGCTCCCACGATCGTTTTAGGAGCCTCTCAGTCAGTATTTCAGTCAGTCAGCTTTCTCCTGCGCAGCTCCGTGGCTGTTGGGCTAACATTAGCTACTATTCTGTTGATGCTATCTTGTTAGGACTTGTGAGGGATGTGTAACGCACAGAAATAGTTTATAACATTTATCCTTTCAGGTCTCAGTAAATAGAGAATCAGCAAAAAAGTAGTTTGTTCTTGAGAAATGTTAACATCACATTACGTTTTGAAACAGCCCACTGTGTGTAAGGATTGCACTGATACAATATCAACACAGTCTCAGCAACAAGATTAATTTCTTTGATTCTTTGAAAATATTGCAGGCCCCCTATTAGCCCCACCTTGAAAAAACAACAGATTCTGCTGGCTGAAGCAGAGAAGAATGAAGAGGCTATGTCAAACACAGTTGCTGACCTGAAAGAAGAAAGGGACAGTCTTCTAAAACAATTAGCCAAATGTAAGTATTTTTATTAATAGAGGTGCAATGTAGCTATGTAGTCTTATTAACCTTTTAGTGCTCCTGCAGCAAAATAATTGTATCTGTGGTTAATTCCTACCACTTCACACAACAATGAATGTTTTAAGTTTTGCTGCAGTTTGCGTCTATTTAAAGTAATGGCCGTTGACAGTAATGCATCAGTAGCACAGTTTTACATTTGCCACACAGAATGATGCAGACCAGCAGAGAAAATTGCAAAATGACATACAGTTTGAGTGTGTAGTTAATCATAATTCTGTGTATTTGGGCATTTATGGTTATGACTCATTTACAAAACTGCTTATTTATTTACACTCATTTTGTGGCAAGATGTTTGATCTGATTGCTACATTTTTTTTTTTGGCTGATTGAGGAATACACAATGCCCCCATTTACACCTGGGACCTCATTTGGTCTTAAAATGGTCGTATGTGAAAATTCACCTGAAAGTAGTGATTTATAAAGCGGAATTTCAACATGAAAGACTATGCGCATTGACGCAGGTTTCCAACCAGACGTATATCTGTGCTTTTGGCAATCATAAGGGAAATGAGGGAAAAGCATGAGGGTAAAAATTACTGTGTGGCACAACCACATTTACCTATCTGCTCAATAGGTTTTTACCTCGTAAAAAAAATCTAGCCTGCATCATTAAAACCACACGTTTATTTGACAAAATAATAAGTCACTAATGGTTGACAGTTAACATGTCATCAGATACTTGCTATATTTGCATTTCTGTAGTGGTCAGCAACAAACTCTCACCAAAGATCAAAAAGTCCCACAACAAAAATGTCATTAATGTAAACTTATTAATGTTAAATTGCTCAGTGACATAGGTCTGCAGCTTTGTTGCGTCGTTATAAGTTTAAATTCAAGTCGGGATCAAAAAGGTACATTCGTCAAATTTTTTGTTTGAGACAAATTTTAGCCATATGTTACACGAGTGTACATACATCCATCTCTCCAAGACACATTAAATGATAAAAGCCCCTCCCAGTATTATGATGGAGCTCTCTCTGCTGTTTTGTTTCAAGGGTAGACTCCACCCTCTGAGCTGCCACCACTTAACAGATCCTTTGATGCTCCTTCAGTTCAGCTCTTAACAAGAGTTTTTCCTCTGGGTTTAATTCTGTAGCCTACTTTGACAGACTTTGGTTAAGGATGTTGTCATAAATATAGCTCCAGTTTAGTTACTTTGCCCTGTCATTAGTCAGCATCTCACTAGAGTGTATTGCAATTCTGTGCACATGATTTATGGCAGACATCACTAATACAGGAGGCTAAGGAGGCTAATTACCCCCACACAGACACGCCTTGCTTATATTTTAAGAATACTCTGTGTTTGTCCAGGTTTTATGTATGTATGTATGTATGTATGTATGTATATATATGCATGCATATACATATACATGTATGAATGGCTAAGTGAGTAAAAGTTGACCTGATTTCCAAAAGGCATAAAGGTAAAGATGACACATTCTTAAATATTTAAAACAGGGTTACCTTTTATTTCCATCTTTTACAGCTTTAAAATAAAATAATAAAAATCAAAGAGCCTGAAGCCAAAGTTTGAGCACCATGTGTGGTCAGTACTTAGTAACACCTCCTTTGGCAAGTGTCGTGCTTTTTGTAGCCAGCTAATAATGTTTTAATTCTTATGGGGATCTTGGGGTTTTTTGCCCATTCTTCCTACCAAAAGGCTTGTAGTTCTGTGAGATTCTTGGGTCGTCTTGCATGCACTGCTCTTTCGAGGTCTGTTCACAGATTTTTGAGGGTCATAGCAAAACCTTTGCTATCTTCTTGTAGCATTCTCCTGCTTTGAGGGCATGAATTGTTTGAATTTTTTGAGTGCTAGGCAGCTGCTTAGAGAAGCCCATGGTTGCTGATAGTTGAGACAAGGGTTGAGGATTTATAAAGCTTTGAAATATGCATTACCTGGCCTTTATGATGATTGTGAACGAGTTATGGCCCTAACAAGCTAATTAAGGTCTGAGACCTTGGTAAAACTTATCTGAGAGCTTAAATCTCTTGCGGTGCCCAAACTTTTGCATGGTGCTCCTTTCCATTTTTTCCCACTCCAGTTGTACAAAACAAAAATAATACAGTGATCTTGCTAAAAGATGTTATTGTTTTTTTTAATTTATGCCTTTTGGAGATCAGCTTTATGTCGGTCTATTTTATTAGTACTGGAATCATTTGCAAAAGAAAGATCTGTTATTTCTCTTCTCATGTCTCATTGATGTTTGGTTTGTTTGATATTAGACCAGAAGAAAGATCAGAAAGGTGACACAGCAGAGGAAGATTTGATTGATCTTTGTGGGGACCAAGACTCAGAGTGGTCTGACTCATCTTCATCCACTACATCATCCTCTTCTACATCAACCTCAAGTTCCTCTGATGAGCGGAGAAAGAAAGGAAAGAAACACAAGTGCTGCCACAAGAAAAAGCTCAAGAGAAATAAGAGCAAAAAAGAAAAAGAAGGAAAGATGCAACAATTTAGACAGAGAGAGAAATGAAACCACAACTAACCCATAGACATATTTAATATTCTACCTGCTGTGAAACAGGTGTTCATAAATCTGAGTGGAGTCTTTGGGGTCTATGTCTATGAGTTGAGCCTTGAGTCAAAGGTAAAAGCCTACTAAAAACCTGCCTAAAATAATGGGCCTTCCATTATACAAAAATATTACAATGTTTAAAAAAGAAAGACAACACAATTTGAAACAGATGGTTAGTCTGCAGTTTATATGGTATGTAAGCTTGCAAACATTTCTGCTATATCAGTTTTTTTCTAACAAAGGGCACATTTTTAAAGCTGTGTCAAAGCAGACAATGCTGTGAGGTGCAGGAGAACAACACTGAAGTAATGTCTGCCCAAGACTGTATCAGTTAGCAAAACTGAAGGGCAAAGACTAGATTAGATTTGAAATATTTTATTCATTTACTGCATTAAGGTTAGCGGTTCAAATCAGTTTCAGTTCTCTAGCAGAAAACTCACAAGTCGTAAGTCTTAAGTTTTAAATCAGTCGGGAGTCGCTGACTAGAGTCCTGCTGTATTAAATGAAATAAGATTAAGGGACTGATGGAAAATTAAGGGAATATTTCAGTTGATTTGTTTGTTTCTCTGTAGTAAGAAATCCTCAGTAGGCTGTAAGAAGATACAGAAAGATTTTGCAGCAGTACAGGAGGGGGAAAAATCTTCATGCTGCCTACAAGGCTGTTGGTGTAGATAGAAACACTGTAGTGGCCAATGCTCCCATTGCAGAGCTTGCTATTGTGGCACGTCAAGAGTACAGTAAGCTGTTGGAGGGTTACTCGCGTCAAGAAAAATTGCAGGCGTTTGCAAAGAAGTGCATGGATCTCTTAAACAATGATGCGCAGTTGTTGACCACTGTGGAAATGTACAAAAAGAAAAACAAACTTTTACCTTTAATGAAAAGAAAATAAGAAGGTTGTTTTTTCATTTGCTACAACTGCCAACACTCTTGAATTAGGAGTTAGATGTTGTGCATAATAGAAAAAGTCAAATTAGCACTTTTAGAGAACATTTGCTTTGGTAAGAACCCTCTGTGTTTTGTTTTAAATTTTTTTTCAAAGAGAAAGTAAAAATACTGTGTTTGTTACAGAGTAAAATAACTACAGCGAGATTATTCAGTTGTTTTTTTTTGGTTTATTCAATAAAGTTCTAACTACTCTGTTATCTCCTTTTGAGGTTTCTCAGTGATTTTAAGGTCCTAAAGTCAAAAGGCAGGTAAAAAATTGTATACCAGCTTATGCTCAATAGTTACATTGAGTAAATGTCTATACATTGTTTTTTGTTTCCACTTTAGATTAGGGGCTGCAAAATGTTTCGTAAATGTTGACCAATTAATGTATAAATGACTTAACAAAAGGACTTTAGTTTGTAAATGACTTATAAGCAATTTTAGATATTCATAAGTACAGAATAGTTTCCTCTTTAGATTAGGGGCTGCAAAAATGCTGCAAATAATTTATATGTAATGAACAGGTCATTTATAAAACATGAGTAAGGAAGTCACTACTGTTTGTTAATGTTTAACAAATCAATTGTAGGCCCAAAATTTTTTAATGGATCTTACTGTGGTTCACAAAAGGCACGTTGAATTAGCAGCTTTGATTTGTGAAGATTTTTTAATTTAATGTTGTTTTGGTTTTTTTTTAAAGTAAATAACATCCTGATTTGTCGATCATTAGTTATGAAACAGTAGCTTATATATTTAAATTACATTTATTGCATATAGCAAAAGCACTTATTGAGAGAAAAATGCTTTCTTGACAGGTTTGCAGTGACGGGAAACAGTCATCAACAACACCAGGTCTTCATACATATGCAGACAGAGAATAAGGAGTTCTCCAGGGAGGTGTGATGACAGTTCTACATATTATTATATATGGGCCATTATAAATCTTGTAAAGAGGACACATTGTAGACTGTATTGATCAAATGCCACCACTGCCATTAATGTATAGAACAAAGAAGAACAACTCTTAAATACTTGATTAGTTCATGATTAGTAAATCATGAAGTAGAAGTTTATAGATGTTTTATTTTGAAAGTTTTTTTTGGCTAAAGAACACCCAAACTTTAAAGTATGTAAATATGCTACTAACATATGAATTTTTATTATAGTATGTACATAACTGATGAATAACTTAAGTGTCTTATAAAGTGTTGTTAATATATTAATTAATGATGTATAGCTCTAAATACATCATTAGTTCATAATTAGTTAATTATGAATTAAAAGCTTATAAATGCTTTATAAATGAACATTATTATAAAAAGTGTTACCAGCAAAGGAAACATTAAATATGAACATAAAGATGCAGTTATTACCAAAGACAGCCTTGATATACTGTACTGTGTCTGTTGTATATCCATCAATGATCTAATTTTGCACACATCAAATTATATTATCTCTTTCTTTATAATGAGGATGTAAAAGCAGTAATGTTACCTTCCACTGTAAGAGTAACAGTATCACTGTGTTGTGATGAGGGTCTGTTATCTCTCTCTCCTCTACACCAGTACTGATCCTGATCTGCTGCTGATCTGATGGTGAAGGTGTTTGTCTGAGACTGATAGACTGCAGTTCTGCTGCTGCCTTTATACCACTGATATCTCCAGTTACTGTAAGACTCTATCTCACACTTCAGAGTGACTGACTCTCCAGTGAACACAGGACTCCATTTGGGTTCTACAGTCAGTGTAGCTCTGGGTAAAGCTGTGAGAACAGAGGAGAGGAGAGAAAAAAGTAATTAGTGTAAAATGTTCAGAGATTTAACATCACATTTAAAAAAGTAAGCATTCTTATCTAGAGAATTTATTTTTGGAGATTTTCTGATAATATTTTTTGATTATTTCAGAAAGAAACTTTAAAGAACAAAACATTTGTGACATTCCAGAAACTACTTATCAAAATATAAATACTGCAATTTAAAATGTATATTTCATGAACACAATATTGACTAACATCAGTTTTTAAAACAATGTATGATGTTGGTAATGGCAATCTACTTTAGCAAAATGTAAAATATAGTTATGAACTCACCCTTTACAGTGAGTGTAACAGAGTTACTGTACTGTGATAATGTTGGTCTGTAATGTCGCACTCCTATACACTGATACTGATCTCCATTATTCACAGCATCTTCTCTGATGGTGAGAGTGTCTTTGTTTACAGTGTAATACACAGACCGAGACACTGGAGTCCGTCTACGCCATGTATCCTGTTTATACCACTGATATGTCCATCCATCATAAGTGATAATCTCACACTTCAGAGTGACTGACTCTCCTCTGAACACAGGACTGTCTGGTTTTACTGTCAGTGTAGATTTGGGTAGATCTACAGAAAGAAGAGAACAGCAGTGCAGATTCAGAGTATTTGGAGTCACTACAATAATGCAAGTTTCCAGTCTGGGTGTTTGATGCCTCCTGCTCTGCACAATTTGGTGTTTTCCTGTTTACACTCTTCAGCTCACTAAGGGCTTGTTAATTAGTTGAGTAGATGGATCAGTCAGAGCAGGGGTTCTCCAGGAACAGTTAAGAACCACTGCGTTAATGAAAAATAAATAAATAAACCAAACATCTGGTCTCATCTGTGTTGCTGTGATACTGAGGTTAATGAACACTGAAGAGATGATCAAACTCACCTGATACAGTCAGTGTAACAGCATCACTGGTGTGTGAGTAGCGTGATGTTCCTCTCACTGTTCCTCTACAGGTGTATTTTCCTCTGTGAGACTCTGTAACAGAGCTGATACTGTACTGCTGTTCATTACTGACAGGAGTGTCTGAATCATCTTTAAACCAGCTGTACTGCCAGTTAGAGACACCTTCTCCCTGTATGACACATCTGAGAGTGACGGTCTCTCCTATAAACACCTGTTCATCAGGTTGTATGGACAACACAGCTTTTGGTCTCTCTGTGAAAACAAAATAAAATAAACTCAGAACAATTAATTCTGATTTAGTTTTTTCATATCTATACACAAATTAAGGAAGGATTTTTTTAAACAGTAGCACACAGAACACATCTCCACACTGTTCACTGCACTAAAAGATTGTTTTCTTAGATAAACATATTCATTTATTACTAGTAATGTTGCTTTAAAAATAAACTCCTGAAGTGCATGAGGCCCAGTACAGCTTTAGACTGGTACAGCTGCTTTCCGATGTACTGCAGGTGCTAAAGTCATCTTCAAAAGTGGTGTAACTGAAAGAGCAGCACCACACACTGTCACCGGGGCAGCACTCCTCTTGTCACTCATTGAAATTATATTTTCTAAGTTGTACTGTCTTCGCCCACCCCGTCTCGTCTCCAGGCTTTTTATCTTATTGTTCTGGTTTATAACATTAGGTTTTGAAAAGGTACAAATATGTACTTTTCACCTGAGACAAACTTATTTCAGGTACACAATTCGACAGTAAAACCACTGTTGTACCTTTGAGGTATATTCACATTGTTTGTACCTTGATGAATGAAAAACCTGAAGTACCTGCACTCAACCTTTATTTCTAACAGTGCAGAATAGTTGAACTAACACAGTAACTAAAATGAAATAATATAGTAAATATGACTAATCAATATAGTAAATAAGATTAACTGATGTACTAAGATTAACTAATAAAATAACTAAGATCAAAAAATATAACATATGAACTAATGCGGTAACTAATGTTAACAAATGAAGAAACTAAGATTAACTAAAATTTTAATCATTATTAACTAATGCATTAACTAGATTTACTAATATAATAACTAGTAATCAGAATTCACTAATAAAATAAATATGAATTAATATGGCAATTAACATGAACTAATTTCATAGTTAATATTAATTAATATAATGCAGTAACATCAACTAAAATAGTAATTAAGACTTAAATATAATAACTAAAAATAACTAATATAGTAATAAAGATCCACCAATATAAAAACTAATATGACATAATATGGTAATGAACAATAATGAATATATTAAGATTTAATAAGTAATATGTAGTAATATGGTAACTGACATTAACTAAAATAGTAATTAAGATGTACTCATATAATAACTAATATGAACTAATCTGTTAACTAACGACGAACATGAGCTGAAGGAAAACTAATGAATGAAGTTAATGGGAAATGTGAAAAGATTAATCATTACTGTAACAGTCAAGAGCCATGTGCTTATATGAAGTAACATAAAAC